CTAGTACATTAATAGAGTATTCATTTACGGATGGTCAGTGCTAAAACTTGAATCATAAATAACAGCTAATAATTTTTCAGTTCTCAAAAATGACTTAGACAACTGTGTGTAAAATGGAAAATAAAAAGTTATTATCTACTTTGCATGAATGATTCAAACTTTTCTATACCAGAACTAATAAGTAGTAACTAAGGGTATCAATTTTCAGTAATAATGGGTCTAAGACCCATTTTTTTCTTTCTAGATTTTCCACCCAATATCTTCAATCTTTGGGGATGTAAGCACCTGATATATGTATTGTATATTGGCGAACAATTCATCTTGYTGCCAAATGTGCATTTTGAGAAATGTGCAGCTATTTTAATAATTTAAACCATTTGTGTTCTTTGTGTATGCATACTCAAATACATCAACTTATGATTCTGAACCTGTTTTTTCATCATTAACTTTCAAATGTACCAACACATGTACCTGTCTTTTCCCCATAAACTTGGTGATGGGATGTCAGTTTAATTTTTTAAATATATGTAACATGATTTACATTAATATTTTTATGGTTTTAGAGATAYACTTAGGAAAATGTTTTAATTAGATAATTCTTTTTATGTGTCTGTTGTAGTGTACTRTAAAAGCAAGATATAAAGCACTGTTAGCTAAATATTTACAATAATTTTTACTTTTGCCTATATTATGAATTTAACTAAAATAAAATGTGAGTTGTATATTTTTAAATTGAGTTGTTTCAATAGTTGGAGCATCTGGGGGCAGTATACTGATTTTGAACTATTTGGACTTAAATTGAGTATGATTTGAAAATAAATTGAGTAATTTTTAATATCTAAGTCATGTAATGCTATTCATGCTTCATTCATTCAATAGATTATTGAGTGCCTTCTATGTGCTAAGCACTGTGCAAGGTGCTACAGGTGGACACAGATGAAAAGAACACCCCTTTTTTAAAAATATTTTTTAGTGTTGGCAGACCTTTATTTTATTCATTTATTTATATGCGGTGCTGAGAATTGAACCCAGTGCTACACACATGTGAAGCAAGCACTGTACCACTGAGCCACAACCCCAACCCCAAGACAACCCTTTTTCTTCCAGGAGTATATACAGTATATTCGACGGCAAGTGGAGGAGATCTGTATATAAATAAAAGCAATAAAAGGCTGCATTGATTAATGACAGAAGTGGTGAAAAGGATTGGGGGGCATGTGGAATGAAGTGAGGCTGGGTTGCAAAATAAGGTACAGAAATATGTTCCTAAAGAACTTAGCTTTAGAGTAGGTCAGAGGAGGTAGTGTGATGTGGACATTGTGGGCAGAGGCCTCTGTTTGCCGTTTTTAAATATACTTTTACTGAATAATGAAGCAGTTTATATGTAAACACAAATTCAATGAGAACACCTTCAAAAGCTTATTACCAGAAAGGGAACTGCTCCTGTTGGGACAAGAGTAGGTAATGTTGGGAAGGTCATATTTGATTAGAGACTAAAAGTTGCCCAACTCCCCTAAACACATCAGAATATGACTGTATATAGTTGCACTGCCCCAAAARTGGTTCCTTAGCAATAACTAAATGTGTAAAGTGACAGATGATTTTGGTGTGTCTGTTGATTCATATTAAGATGGTTTTATGATAAGTATAACTTATGATTCAGCTCTTCTCCCCATTTCTTTGCTCACTGTTTATTCTTGTATTCTATTCCTCCAAGTTCACTTTTTAAAAATGTTCTTGGCAGTTCTTTCACCAAAGGTCTTTGGGCAGTAAACTCTGTAGGTCCTGTTTGTCTGAAAACGTCTTTATTTTTATTCAATCATCAGTAATCATTTGACATTGTAAAATTCTAAATGCCCAGATACTTTTCCTTAGCATCTTGAAGACAGTATTCCATTAAATTCCAAGATATAGACTTTTTTTGTTTWTCTATATGCGGTGCTGAGAATGGAACCCAGTGCCTCACATGTTAAAGCAAGCACCCTACCACTGAGCCACAATCCCAGCCCCAGGATATATACTCTTGCTGGTGAAAATATGGATTTCCTTCYCAAGCAGCAATCTTTCCTTCCTCTAGTTACTTTTTTAAAAGTTGGAAATTTCATTTTATGTGTATGGAATTATAGGAAAGAAGAAAATTAAAACTGGCTGCAAAGCCTTGCAATAAAAAAATTAATCAGAACATTGACAAATTATTTTACATGAAAGAAATCCAGATGTAAGCTGTTGAGAGAGCTGATGTGGTGGCTCAAGTTGTCAGGAACTCATGATTTTTCATTTTCACTCAGAGTAACTCTGAAGCCCAGCTGTGTCCTCGGGGCATGGAATTGCTGCTAGATAAAAACCAGTGAACGCAACTCTCCAGGAATTAAAAAAAAAAAAAAAAAAGGAATTTAAGAAGTCAGGAAGGTTCTCCTCTAAAAACTATCCCTAAAGAACTAGATATTTAATTTATATTGACCAAAACTCGGTTAGCATACTTGTCTTCAAGGGAGGCTGAAAGGGAGCAATTTAGCTAGGAGGCAATGTATTATTCACTGAAATGTGTGTGCTGTGACTTTTAAAGAAACCGTGGTTTTCTATTATAAAGAAGTGGACCACGGAGAATAGATTTTAATAAAGCATTCTTTTCTCCCCTACAACAATAACTCCCGTTTACTTCTTCAATCCCTTTGTACCATCTCTAACATAATTCTAGTTCTCTACCCTTAATATTAAAAGAAAGACAAACAAAAACCTTAATTCTGGTCATTCTCTTTCACTGAAAACGAAAAAAACAACAAAAACTTTTATCCCTCTCCTTTACAATTTCTTTCATATTCTTTTCTGCTTATTCCCAATCCTGAAGCACCACATCACTTTTTATATAGCTTCCTAACTAGTCTCCCAGTTCCTGGGACATCCTCGTCCCAGCCATGTCTTTATTTATTTATAATTAACATCACAACACAAAAGTACATTACTGAAAAAAAGTACAAATAAGGCAAACATCTTCCTCTGGCCACACTCTTGGCGACATCAAGACCTTTGTAATTTCTGAACGAATGGAAAATTAGGTAAATGATGCGATCTTCCAACTCGTTCCTGTAAAAAGGGAGACAAAGGCCCTCTTGTCATTGCAGATGTCGCGTCCTCGGGGAGTCGGCCAGCAGAAGGCTGATCTGTCTTCCAGGGGCGTAAAGAGAACACTAAAATCCGAGCTTGGAAATCCCAACCCGGCCAGAACCCGGCCAAAGTACGGCCAGAGCCCGGGGCAAAGGCCAAGTAAGAGATCTCGCGAGCTCCGGGATCATCTGGGAAAACAAATGAGGCGCTTCTCTGACGCGTTTCCGGGCCGCAGGGGCGGAGGCAAGCCGCGGTGGATGCCGGGGAGCCGGGAAAATGGTGGTCACCAGGTCTGCACGTTCTCGGGCCAGGATCCGAGATACATCGCCYGAAAGTTCCCAGCAGAAGGTAGGAGATCCCAAGTCTCCTCTGTTTCTCCTCTCCGCTCCACAGAGTAGCGCTTAGGCAGGTGGGGCGGCGGGAAGGGCCGCTGGAGAAGGCACGAGCTTTCACAGTGCTGCGGTAAACCAAAGCTCTGCTCCTGCCCTGTCTTGTGAACTGGTTAGTCCTCACCACGGTCTTTTAAGGCAGTTCTTAGTAGTTAAGGAAAAGGTTAGTTAACTTCCCCTGTGTTGTTCAACGACTTCATGCAGACACAGAGATTAAACCTTGTAAGATTGTTAACGCCACTGTATCAAGGAAGACTAATTTCAGTCACGGTGGGCGAACATCACTTAGTGGGACTGGAGAAAAGGACATCGTTTTCATTTGGGGAGACTGGCAGTGGCCCATCACCCAACTCCAATGACGTGTAGAGGTTGTGGTGACGCCTCCTGGTGGCTCTCCTCTGCCACATTCTTCGTTTTCTGCAGCGAAGGGAACTGAGCGGCAACTCTCTTTAGTCTGTCAAAGCAAGGGCAGTGACTAGTTCACTAGTGTGTACCTAAATACCTTTTTTGCTGAGAGTACTTCCTCTCGTCCCTTATGTATGGATCGAAATGCTTATTTTTCTTTGGAGAAAAATTTTTCTTTATTCGGTTATTTTTTTTTCTTTGCAAAGTCAGATCCAGGTCCAGGTGAGGCAMATAAGGCAAATAAAGAGTCAGATCTAGCATTTAGCTTTTTTTTTTTTTTTCTTAATCATGGGTTTTGCTTTTTGTGATAATTTTGCCTACTGAATGTTTTTTAAATATTTTTTTTAGTTGTAGATGAACATACAGTATCTTTATTTTTATATGGTGTTGAGGATCGCACACATGTGAGTCAACCGCTTTACCACTAAGCTRCAGCCCCAGCCGCCTATTGGATTTTTATAGTGCCCTCCTAAATTTTGCTCCTGCAAGGAAGTGCCTTACTTGCTTTGCCCTTGTCCCAACCCTGCCTTAACTTATTTTCTTTGGGTTGCAGAGTTGTGCTGAAGGGATTCCAGAAAACAGGAAGGAATGTGGATCTGATGGCCAAAGTATTATTGAATCACTGCAAACTGCTGGGGAAAAAAGTTCAGTCCCTAGAACTTCTAAAAGCAAAAAGAGGAAGAGTGGAGCTGCAGACTCACAAGCAAAGATAACTAAACCATCTACTGATGGAGARAACTCTGAAGAAGAGTCAAATTATTCATCTGTGTCTGAGGTCCAGGAGCCTATTCTAAGAATAACTAGGAGAAGGCAGATCATAATTCCACTCACCCCAGTGACTCCTATTAGGAAAAGGCAGACAATAACTCCATTAAATGAGCCTCTTACTGAAGAGGTTGTCTCTGAAGCAGAATCTCATGCTTCAGGTGTTTCTAGAGTTGTTACTTCCACAGAAGTAACAAGAAGAATCAGAAGTAAGGCTAAATCTGAAGTAAGAGATCTAAGCCAACAATCAAATGCAGAAACTAAAGCTGATACTGAGTCGTGTTCCTACAGTTCAATCTCTGAAATTACACCTAAGAGAAAAACCAGAAATGTGTATAGGAAATTAAAGCTAGAAACTGAGAAGAAAGATACAAAGATTGTACCAGGAAATGAAAACCAAATCATAGATACACCTGTGAATTCAAAGGATGCAGATACCATTCAGGATTCTCAGTTACCAGCAGGATTTCCTTCTCAAACAAATAAACCAAATTTCTGTAATAATGAAATTTATAATGACTTTAATGATGATCCATTCCACAGAAATTCAGACAAAGTACTAACAGTGCAAAAACATCAACATCTTAATGTAAGTGAGGAAAAACAGACCAATGTTGCATCTCTTAGAGAAACAATATCTCTTAAAGAGGACAATGAAATAATAGATGAGGGAAAAGAAATTAATGGGAAAGGTTCTCAGCTGAGTTCTTCTGAACTTCACGACAGGAGTCTTCAACCATTAGTGTCCCAGAAACTTTCAACTCCCCAAAAGAAAACCACATCAGAACAATCAGATCTGAACTGTGAGACTATAATGAAATCATTAGCAAAAACATTTGCAGTTGTGGAAGTGAACAGATGGAGTGAAGAGATAAACAGTACCATAAAAACAAGTGACATAACAAAGTTCAGTTATGATAATGAAGAGTCTGCTAGAGTAGATGTCAGTGAAGACAACAGCAAAATGAGTGAAAACCTAGAATGTGATACCAAACTCTGCAAGTCTGAACTCAACACTTCTCAGGAGGTGAGTGATTCTGTTTTTTTAGTTCTTAGCAGTGATGAAAGCCAGCAATCTGAAAACTATGAAAGTGAAGAGGACACTCTGTGTTTTGTTGAAAATAGTGGCCAAAATGAGTCATTAAGTGAAGACTCTGGAAATACATCATGCAAAAATGCACTGTTTGTAATTGATACAACTCCTGGATTGAGTGCCGAGAAAAATTTTTATTTGGAAGAGGAAGACAAAGCAAGTGAAGTTGCCATTGAAGAAGAAAAAGAGGAGGAGGAGGAAGATGATGAAAACAGTGAAGAACTATCAGATAATGACAGAAATGAAGATGATGAGTGTAGTGATGAAGACGACTTACTGAATAACACAAAATCTAAACTGTAAGTTTTTACCCTTATGTTTTAAAAGTAGATGTTGATGTATTTGTCAGATGATTAATTTACCATAAAAATATGCAATATTAGAAAACATGGAATTGATAAAATTACTGCCTTTAGTTCATTATGGAAGTGCTCTTCTATCTAGCATTTCTCTCATCTTTGTGAGTACCTTTGACAGACATACTTCTCAGTGACTAAGTGTTCCTTTTGATGATATAATAGAAATCATCTGTTAAGATTTTTCTGTGATTTTATTTTGTGAGCAATATAAAGGGGAGGAAAAAAGTTACTTTTTTCTCCTTACATGTCCATTGTAAAGAAATTGAAAAATATAGAAAAGTATGAGAAAAATAATCATCTCTAGTCCCATCCATTATCCACTAAAAGGGTCTAATGTTTGGGGTTATTTCTTTAGTTTCTATATTCCTGTTTTAAACTTATTTTTTTTTTCCTGGTCATAGGCTGGTGGTAGTATTATCCACTAGAAATGCCAGCAGCCTTCTAGGGCTGTGTATATTAACAGATACATAGGCTTTGCTATAAACCAACCAAGTCAGGCTATGACATCAGGCTTAGGCATGTTTGGTTTTTTTAAAAAACCAGTCTTCCCCCATATTAGTTCTGATATACATTCAGGGTTGAGAATTGCTGCCAAGATACTGCAATAGAATGACTTCACTTTCCAGCACAGACTGATTATGTTTTGAACACTCAGTTTATATGAATAATCAGGAAAGAAAATGACTCTAAGTCCAAGTGTACTTACCTATAAGAACCCTCTGATCATACAAAGTAGAAATTCTCTTCATATAAATATAGCCCAGACAAGATGCAGAAGATTCTAATTGGTAGGTTTGAGGCATGACATTTAACTTTTAAAAAGCTCTTGTGAGATAGATGTTTATTACCATTTCATACTCAGTACCAGATATCTTTAGTTACTGAGGGAAGAATTCTAGGTTTTTATAACTTGGAAGTTCAGAGTAGAAGGCCTTTTCCCAATATGTACATTTATTAACTAACTCTTTGCCTTTATATGAAGTTAAGCTGAATTGGTRGGAATATTTCCTCCTCCTTTTTCTGTAATTCTTCCTTATCTAATCTATGAAATATATTGGCATATTATATAGCCTAATCCTTTTTCCTCCCACTTCCATACAGGAGATCGAACCCAGAGGCACTTTACAGCTGATCTACATTCCCAGCCTGTTTATATTTTGAGACGTTCTAACTAAGTTGCTGGGGCTAGCCCTGAACTGTCAATACTGCTGCACTCTACTGATGGCCTAATACTTTTTTTAAAAATTTGGGGAATAAGTTTGGATGTGTTCCCAAAAGCATTTTTAATTGTTCATCCTAGAATTGGATGTACTAGATTTAAAATGTAACTACTTCATCTTTAAGTGATCATTTCTCTTTCAGTCTGAAATTGACAAGTAGCAGCATAGATCCTGGTCTGAGTATCAAGCAGTTGGGTGGTGTGTATATTAATATCAACGCAGACAAACTACAGTCTAACAAGAGAACCCTAACACAGATCAAGGAGAAGAAGAAAAATGAGGTAAATTATTTGAAATGTCTGCCTTGTTTTAGAAGTGTCATTTCTAGAAATGCTTAGTTCTTGGTAAAAGACCAATTTTCCCATGGTGAAACCACTTTGGCCTAATCAGTTCTATTTCCCCATCTTGCTAGAAGAGTCATTTCTTTTTAAGACAAAATCCCACCTATAAAAGGTGATGCTTGAAAAGTAAATTTAAGATCAGTATTTCTTTTCTTGCATCCAMCAGTTATAATCCCAGAGTGTTTTGTTTTGTTTCTTGTTATATTTTTATTTCTTAACTGTTCTGGAAAAATGTTAAAAATTGCCAGTTTCTCCATTTGAGAACTACTGTCCTAGCCTGCTGCCCTCACCTTGGGCTGGGGGTAGGGGGAATGCTTATTTACATACAAAGATTAGACATACAATTTTAGAAGGAATTATTATTAAGATAATCTTACCTAAACCTTTAGCTTTGGCCAACAACTTGCACTGCTTTCTTCTAAATCTGTATTTTCTAGCCTTGATGCTTCTTTTAACTTCAGACTTTTGAGTGTAAGTATCTATTCATTTCAATGCACTCAGGCACTTGACTTCACTAATTCTTCTCTTTCTCTTCCTGGCCTAAACTAGCTTCTCCTTTTGTATTCTGTGTGCTGATTAATGACACCAAAGTCTCTTTCCCTTTTGCATTTAATCACCAGGCCCTTGCAATGGTGCCTTCCTTCTTTTTGAGCCCATCAACAAGTAGTACAGACCTTTATTTCTCACCTGAGATACTCTAGCAATCTCCTTATTGGTCTTGCTTTCTTTTTGTTCTTTAAGTCATCCTGAAAACTTTTAGATTTCTCTTTGTAAAATCACAAATCTGCTTAAGTAAGTATTCTCTTGCCTAAGTCTTTCAGAGGTTTCTCAGAGCCTTCAAAATGCTTTGTTTTTGCCATTGAAGACTACTGAAATTTTCTGCTCTTTCTAAACCAATACAGAGTTCACAGCCATGGGAAACATACTTGGATTCCCCCAGTCCTTATTTGTACCKCTGTGCATCTGTAACACCCAGTACAGATCTGATTTGTTTATGCAAGGTTTCCTAATCTCAGCACTGTTGCTGTTTTGAGCTGCATGATTCTTTGTTGTGGGATGATCTATTGTGCATTGAAGGATTGTTAGCCACATCTCTGACTTCTATCCACTAGATGCTAGTAGCATTCTCTCTCCCTTCACTACCAAAAATGTAACATTGCCAGTTTCTCCATTTAAGAACTACTGTCCTGGACCCTATTATAGGCTTTAACATATATCAAGCTCTTAGCTGTTAAGTAATTGTTGTAATTTCTTTCTGAATGATGGAAAAGCCTAGAATGCTACCGTACCAGCCCAAAATTATAAGCCTGGACCCAAATTAGGTAATTGACTATTAGTAATTTCTTAATCAGTAATTTCAAATGGCATTGCCAGATTAATGCTTGAGCTATATTCCTGTAAAAAAAATTTGAGGGCTAAGGATCACTTTTACTTTTAACTACCCTGTAGCTCTTTTTAATCACATTGTTTTATGAGAATATTTTAATTATCCTAAGCAAGTAACAAAAAATACAGATTTTTAGGAACAGATTAACAAATTTGATGGCACAAAATTTTAAAATATAAGTTCAAAATGTTGCAAAATTRCGTGAAAATACAATTTTGTATTTTTATAGCTTCTGCAGAAAGCCATCATTACACCTGATTTTGAAAAAAACTATGGTGTCCCACCATATAGTGAATCAAAACGTCAACTTCAGAAAAAACGCAGGGTAAGTACAGTGACTTTAACTTAGAATGTTTGTGTGTTTGTACCTTCAGATTATATAACATGTTTGTACAATTAAAGTTAAACCTAGGTGTATATAAGTATTTTTTAAAATTATTTTGATATCTAAGGGCCATAAAATAACATTTCATTTAATATTAATTTACACATCTCTGCAGCTACAATGGTATACACAGATATAGCTCTTTAAAAATATACCTTAGGGACAGTAGTAGCCAACATATAGGTTCACTGTCTATATCTATTAGCTTTTGGGGGTGGCGATGGGGGATACCAAGGTTTGAACCCAAGGGTACTTAATAATCACCAAGCCACGGCCCTTTTCTATATTTTATTAGTGACAGGGTCTCGCTAAGTTTCTGAGGCTGAATTTGAGCTTGAGATCCTCCTGCCTCAGCCTCCCGAGTCACTAGGATTACAGACGTGTGCCAGTGCACTCAGCTTCTTGTAGTTTTTAGATACTGTTTTACCAAAGGCTAGAAGCTCCCTGTTGCACTTTTAAAGGAAACTAATAAGCATAAAAGTTCCCTAGGGAACTTTGAGGATGGGACACCAGTAATGTCACTAATATGGGGTACCTTGACAGATTATAGGCACCATATGAATATTTGTTGTATGAATGAAACAAAACTGATTAATTACTAGGAATTTTCAAAAGAATAGAATTTTTCTTTTATTTTAGAAATCATACAAATTTCTGGACTAGTTTGCAGTGAGTGGCTCTCTGAGACACGTAGGTAACTGATGTTAACATTTGGTTACGATGGCATCTGCCTGTAATCCAGCTATTTGGGAGGCTGAGCGGAAAATCCCAAGTTTGAGGCTAGCCTGAGCAACTTAGTGAGACCCTGTCTGAAAATAAAAAGTGCTGGGGATCTAGCTCAGTGCTTGACCCTGGGTACAATCCCCTGTATTTCCCCAAAAAGTGGGGAAGGATTAACATTTACACATAAGCTCCAGACATGAAAATGTTTTTATGTATTGTCACTTACAAGGATTATTTTAAGTAAAAATTGAAGGTGTGGGGGCTGGGGATGTGGCTCAAGCGGTAACGCACTCACCTGGCATGTGCAGGGCGCTGGGTTCGATCCTCAGCACCACATAAAAATAACGATGTTGTGTTCACCAAAAACTAAAAAAAAAAAATATTAAAAACCTCTCTCTCTCTCTCTCTCTCTCTCTCTTTCTCAAAAAAAAAAAAAAATTGAAGGTGTGTGATTCTCCCAGCAAGTCATCAGTTACTTGCTGAGATAAAAAATAGATTTTAAGGAGGATCCATTTCTGACTCTGGTAATGCAATGCCTGATTTCCTAAAAAAAAAAAAAAAAAAAAGTCATCGTCTCTTTTTCTGATTTTACTTAATTCCTTTTATAAAGGTGATTCTGGAGATGAATGCTTTCTATAAAGAAACTTTTCTATTCACAAAGTTTTCTGTTTGTATAATTTTAGGGGAAATGAACATACTCATAGTTTTATTTAAAGTTACGATGTTTATTTTTGAAATTTCAACTTTAGAAAGAGCGACAAAAAACAGCAGGTGATGGCTGGTTTGGTATGAAAGCTCCAGAATTGACAGATGAACTGAAAAATGATCTCAGAGCACTGAAGATGAGAGCAAGCATGGACCCAAAAAGATTCTACAAGAAAARTGATAGAGATGGCTTCCCTAAGTATTTCCAGGTATGAACAAACAGAATACTGGTATAGTCCATAGATTTTAGTTTGGATAGTATAGTCATCTTTTCACTCCTAAAACAGACGAATGTTTTTAATGTGTATATCTGACATTTGGACCATATCTGCTTAGGCCAGAAAATGTCCTAAACATAATTCAGATAACAACCATCTTGTATTGGGTTCCCAGGTAGAGAGACGTTGTTAAATATGATAGGTGGATTTCCAGGTTAACTTTCTAAATGGAACTTACTAAATTTAAGGGTTAACATAAGTGTAAAAAGAAAGCTAGCCTAAGAGCAAGAGACCATGCATGACGGAGCAAATTCCCCCAGCAAATTCTGAAAAGTCATTAAAAATTTGGTTTTCAAAGCATTCTCAGATGAAACTCCAATTGATTTATCCTTAAAGTTTTCATTCTTGATTACTTTAATAGTCTTTGGTCTCTCAAGTTTTGCTCTGTCTTACAATCCGTCTTCCAAATGTAGCCAGTTATACATGTATTCTTTAAGCTTGGCACATACCTGTAATCCCAGCAACTTGGTAGCCTGAAGCAGAAGGATTRCAAGTTCAAAGCCAGCCTGTGCAACTTAGCAAGACCTTGAGTCAAAGTAAAAAGGGGTGGGGATATAGTTCAATGGTAGAGCACTCCTGGGTTCCTTCCCCAGTACAACAACAAAAAAATTTTGTTCATTTTACAACTCTGCTAAGAAGTTTTTGTGACCCTTTTATTTGGTTCTTTATAATCTGCACCCAAACCAGTAAACCAACTCTTCTTTTTGTCATAGCCCTCTTAAGCTCACACAAGCTCAGTTACTCAGTCCCTTTCTCAGAATGTGTACATACCAGTATTTAATTCTACCTATATAAATCCAAGCTAAAATTACATCCTTTTGTCTTCTTTTCTTCCTTTTGGTCCGAATTTGTCACTCAGTGTTCAAAGCTTCTGTAATATTTTGTTCAGTGTCTATTATGTTATGCTTTAATTCTTCAGTTTTCTGTTTTGATATTCTTTAAAACTGGAACCTTGCTAAGGACTAAATGTTTGTCTTTGTTTCCTCAACCTATCACAGTGCCTGGCACAYGGTAGGCATTCTGTAATTTTAGTCAGTTGAATGAACAAATGCAGAGCAGTTACTAAGGCAGTATTTATGATAGTCTAGGAGATCAGGTAGGTCTGTATATGGAACTTGTATTTGAATTGGAAATTGAGCAGTTTATTAACTTCTACTTTTCTCCTTTTATTATTCATTGTGAATTTAACTGTACTGTTAGTACTATGTATATAAAAGAAATTTTGGATCTACTATATACTCTGTCATTAATAACATCACTGTGCTCATTGATGATTTATTTTAGCTTAAAAAAAGTCAAGATAAACTATAATACTGTTATAAGCTCGTGATTTACACTCCTTTTGTAAATATACTTTGTTCAAAACTACACTGAAATATGGAGTAAACAGTGGCATTTAGGCATTGTATGACTTAATCAGGTTTTGTATGACTTATTTTATTCAATTGTTCATAGGTTGGAACCATTGTTGACAATCCAGCTGATTTCTACCATTCACGAATTCCCAAGAAGCAAAGGAAAAGAACTATTGTGGAAGAACTGCTGGCTGATTCTGAATTCAGAAGGTAATGAATTTTTATATTTCATCTTGTAACATCTATGTATTTCTTTAAAATATGCAGAAATCTATAAAATTTCAGTTAATTATAAAATATTAACTCATTTAAAATAACCCTCATATATAAACATGAATATATACTTTCATGAAAATAACAAAAGCAATTTAGTGCAAATCTCTTTAATGTCTGGCATAATTAAAGACAATCAGAAACCAGGCATGGTATCATATCCCTATAACCCCAGGGACTTGGGAGGCTGAGGGAGGAGGATCACAAGTTCAAGGCCAGACTCAGCAACTTAGCAAGGCCCTAAGTAACTTAGACCCTGTCTCAAAATAAAAAATAAAAAAGGACTGGGGATGTGGCTCAGTGGTTAAGAGCCCCCCTGGGTTTGATCCCTGGTACTCAAAACAAAAAAGACAGAGCCTCACATCTGTTTCTGCAGATACTACACATCATGTAGCATCTAGGAAACTCTACTGTATACTCAGGAGAGAATGAGGGCAAAGGACAATTGCTGCCTTAGTATACTTGTAAAAAAAATAGTCTTTACTGAATGGATCTGTTGAAGGGGTCTTCAGATCACACTTTGAAAACCATTAGTATGTTTTCTAAAGTTCTAGGAAATATGTACCAGTCATATTTGTTTTTTCAGATAAGTGTAAACTTTTGTTTTACTTGTTCTTTTTGCATTTTTATCTCCATTTATGTCCTGTGTTTAACATTGTCATGGGTCTTTAGCAAGTTGTGTGAGGGCAGAGGCTATAGCTGTCTGTCCACTGCTCTATCCTTAGTTCTCAGTGTGGCTCGTGACATGTGATGGCAACTTACTGATAAATAGGAAAAGTGCAAAAAATCTTGAGATTTAAAACCCCTTACATAATGTTATATTAACTACTAATATCTGATGTGTTATTCTTTAGAAAACCTGGGTTTGTTTTTTCTTTCCAGATATAACCGAAGGAAGTACTCAGAGATCATGGCTGAAAAAGCAGCAAATGCAGCAGGAAAAAAGTTCCGTAAGAAGAAGAAATTCCGCAATTAAGACTCACCAACCGTACCACAATCTTTTATGTCACCTCTTTATTTGTTAAATGTGTTTTAAAAACTAACACCATCATGTAACCATCATATTTATATAGACTGGCTCTATTTAGGGATTTTTGTTTGGAAATAAAGTTGGTTAACAGAGAATCCATCACATGTCCCTTGAAATAAAAATAGGTATGGCTACAAAAGATCCATCCAGGCTTAGACTGCTGAAAGGGAAAAGAACCTCATCCATTGTAAGATAATTAACATTTTTATTAAGTTTCCAGTGTTTGGTTATTTAAAGAAAAATCACAGATATTTAGGAAGTACAAAGTTTGCTAATATGTTCAAAAACTTTAAAGAGATCAAAGATGTATAAATAATACTATAATTACTATGTAATTTTGCATCTATCTATATATACATACATATATATATATATATATATATATCATGTATGAGACTCTGGGTTTTGATCCTCAGCACTGAAAAAAATTATAAGGAATTAAAACTATAAATTTTAATTTGTTTATGTAGCTTTTTCATGTCAAATGTGAGCTTCATAAATTTATTTTAAATCTTCAGAGCAAAGTAAAGAATGGTATCCAAAAATATTATTGTTTGTTAAGGTCAGAAAAAGAGACTAAAAAGGGTACTTTCTATTAAGATCCTGGTCTATGCTGTGTGCAGTGGTTTATGCCTATAATTCCAGCAGCTTTGGAAGCTGAGGCAGAACGATTGCAAGTCTAAAGCCAGTCTCTGCAATTTAGAGAGGCCCTAAGTAAYTCAGCAAGACCCTGTCTCTAAATAAAATAACAAAAAAAAAAAATGTCCTGGGATGTGGCTCAGTGGTTAAGTGCCACTAGGTTCAACAATAACAACAAAAAAGATTCCTATTCTACAAATAATCTGCATACCTCAATTTACAATGGGATTATGTCCTTGCAAACCCATTTTAAGTTGAAAATATAAACTGAAAATGCATTTAATATGTCTTATATACCGAGCATAACAATAGCTTACTGTAAGTGTACTCAGAATACTCAGCCTGCTATTAGGCAAAGTCATTTAGTAGAAAGACTATTTTATAATGGAATATAGAATACCTCATAATTTGCTGACTATCTGAATCCAAAAGATGCTGGCAACAGGACACTAGACTTACCAGTTGTTTACTCTTGTGAGTACATGGCTGACTGGGAGTGGTGGCTCACTACCGTTGCCTAGCATCTAGAGAGTATCACTAGCCCAGGAAAAGATCAAAATTCAAAGTATGGTTTCCACTGGATGCAAACTACTTTCTCACCTTGATAATGTCAAAAAATCATGTCAAATCATCTGTATTTGAATAATGAATTAATTTTATTTTTCACTTTTTAAGCAAAGAAACAGGTTTTAGTGACTTTGGCTTGTCGCTAAACTGGGTTCACGTACTAGAAATGTTAGCTTAATGAATAACAAAGTCTAATAAAAGCATTATAAAGAGTATAAAGGTATGCTCCAGTAGGGTGTGCTSATGGAAAGGAGGACAATCAAGTTTAATTCCAACCCTAGACCTATTTCCTGAGCTCCCTTATGTTTTTCTTCTCTCCACATTTACCTTCCTTAAATTCTTTCCTTCCTGCATTCTTTCATTCTGTAAACACGTTTTGAGAGCCTGCTCTGTGCTTGGTATTGTATTATATCCAGCTGCCAACTGTACATCTCTAGGGTGTTTCATGCGGACCGCAAAACTCATCACATGAGAATCTGAACTAATTTTCTTCTCAAACCCACTTCTTTCTTCTCCCATTGACTATTTCAGCACATTCATCTGCTGAAGAACTGGTAGATTCTAACTACTTCCATTCTCTCCTTTTTATCCATTAATTCATCCAGGCCTATTAATTTGGACTCCCTTGAAAAACAGCTCTGGTTTGTACACTCAGCTTTGTCCCCAGGCCACCTCCCTACTTCCAGCCTTCATTTTCCCTCCTCGTTGGCTACCATGGCCCCTCAACTGGTCTCCAGGACTCCAGTCTTATATTATTCCGGGGCCCATAATCTATACTGCAGCCAGAGGGAYGATACAAAACACACATCTAATCATACTGGATTCCAGCTAAAAGCATCTCAGTGGTTTCCCACTGCCTCTAGGTAAAGACCACACTCTTAAGATGGTGCGCAAGACCTTCAGAATATGGTCTCTGCTGGAATCAATCTAAAGAGACATTTTGTTTTTCCATCCGTAATAGGAGGAGCTCCTATAGATGTTTAACGGACTTGAAAATGATCTAGAAATAGACACATGCTTTTTTCCTTCATCATCATCAGGATTATTTTAACTCTTTTTTAAAATTAATTTTTATACTACAAGGATAAAAAAAGGGGACATTATGAAAAAGCCTCAAACATTATACCCATATCTACAATGAAAAAGGTGGTSCCATGCCAGGTACAGTGGCACATGCCTATAATCCCAGTGGCTCTGGAGTCTGAGGCAGGAGAAGCATGAGTTCAAAGCCAACCTCAGCAATTTAACAAGGCCCTGTACAACTTAGCGAGACCCTATCTCAAATAAAATATAAAAAAGGACTGAGTATATATGGGTCAGTGGTTAAGTGCCCCTGGTACCGGGAAAAAAAAAAAAAGACGGACTTCTTTCATACTGTCCCCTCCTGACTTAGTGCTCTAAAGTAACCACTATATCCCTCCAGATCTTCCATGCACACACAACCATAAATTCATAAACATACTAGTGTTATCAGCATTGTTTGACATAAATGGAGACTTCTTAAAAATACTCATTTTCACATCAGCTTTTTAAATATAATCCTGAATAATTTTTCCATAGCAACCTATAAATCTCATTTTTTCATCAGTCTACCATAGTTTCTTCAAAAAGACCACCACTGATAGATAGCTAGGTCATTTCCAGTTGGAAGCCATTACAAACAGTGCTGCATTTTGTTGTTGTATGGCAGATAATTAAATGCCAATCTTTCTAAATATATAATAATTGCAAACATTAAAATATTAAAAATATATATGTACCACAACCAGGGGGGATTCATTTCAGATCTATAAAAAGAGCTGAGTATTTGAAAAAAATCATAATAAATGACACAGATTAGTTCCAAAGATTAACAGGGATTTTTTTTTTTTTTTTTTTTTTTTTGGTACTAGTAACTGAACCTAAGGTCACTTAATACTGAGCCACAYCCCCATCCTTTTTTATTTTTTGAGACAGGGTCTCCATAAGTTGCTTAGTGACTCACTGAATTGCTGAGGCTGGCCTTGAACTTGTGATCCTCCTGTCTCAGCCTCCAGAGTCACTGGGATTACAAGTGTGCACCACCAAATCCAGTGGGATATCTCTCTCTCTCTCTCTCTCTGTCGTTTTCAAATATCTTTTATTGGAAGGCCATGCATTGCCCTCATTTATTGTACTTCAAATCACTGTACAGTTATTTTTGTGGAAACACTGCCTGCATTTTCTAGTACAAAAAAATAACTAAAAATTGTTTCAGGAATGCAGAGAAATACCAATGGGATCTTATTAATGTGATAAAATCTATGCGTATGTGAGTGCATGTGTGTTTGCACTTGCACACCAATCTCAGAAGCCAGCATCATGTTTACTGGAAAAGCATTCCTTTAATGAGCAGAAACATGTCAAGGAAGTTCATTATCAACATTATCATAAATAATTACTTAACACTGTATGGACACACCAGCTGATTCTATTATAAGAGAAACAATATGAGGCATAAAACTTAGAAAGGAGAAAATAAAACCATCATAATTTGTGGATAGAATATTTCCAGAAAACAAATTAGTCAACTGAAAAACTATTTTTTTTTTCATTTTTTAAATAAAGATATAATTCACCATAAAATTCATACCTTTAAGAAGTGTACAATTCAGTGAATTTTCATATATTCTAAGTTATGCAACTACCAAACTATTTCCAGAACATTCTCATGACCCCAAAATTAAACCCCATATACATTATTGGTCACTTCAGGTTTCCCCACCTCAAGCCCTGGTGATGACTAACTCCTATGAATTTGCCTAATTTGGACATTTCATTAAAAAGGAATCATATAATATGTGGTCATTTGTGACTAGATTCTTTTACTTAGTATAATGTTTTCAAGGTTTATGTAACATGAATCAGCACTTCATTCCTTTTGATTGCAGAATAATATTCCACCAGAAAGATACACTACATCTTGTTCATCCATTGATCAGCTGGTGGACATTGGGTTATTTCTACTCCTGGCTATTAAAAACAATGCTACTAATGACATTCCTGTGCAAATTTTTGTGTGGACATATGTTTTAAATTCTATTGGGTATATACTTAGGAATGGATTGACACAATAACAAGGTAACTGTAATGTTTAACTTTTTGAGGAATTACCAAACTGTTTAACAATAGACTGCATCATTTTACATATCCACTATCGATATATAAGGGTTTCGATGCTTCTCAAGATTTGTATAATCTTTCTTTTTTTAATGAATTTATTTGTTCTGGTTTGTTATATATGACAGTGGATGCATTTCAATTCATAGTACACAAATAGAGCACAATTTTTCATTTCTCTGGTTGTACACAATGTACACATACCATTTGTGTCATCATACATGTACCTAGAGTAATGATGTCCATCTCATTCTACCATCTCTCCTACCCCTCTGCCCCCTCTCTTCCTCTCCCTCTGCTTTGCCCTATCCAGAGTTCCTTCATTCATCCCAAGTTCCTCCTCCCACCCCCATTATGGATCAGCATCCACTTATCAGAGGAAACATTCGGCCTCTAGGGTTTTGGGATTGGCTAACTTCTCTTAGCATTATATTCTCCAACTTCATCCATTTACCTGCAAATGCCATGATTTTATTCTTTTTTAATGCTGAGTAATATTCCTTGTGKATAGACACCACAGTTTCCTTATCCATCCATCTATTGAAGGGCATCTAGATTGGTTCCACAATTTATCTATTGTGAATTGTACTGCTATGAACATTGATGTGGCTGCCTCACTGTAGTATGCTGTTTTTAAGTCCTTGGGGTATAAACCGAGTAGTGGGATAGCTGAGTCAAATGCCGTTCTAAGTTTTCTAAGGAATCTCCATACTGCTTTCCAGATTGGGTGTACCAATTTGCAGTCCCACCA